TGTGCAGGTCTAGGATGTGGTAGCCTTACCTCTACTAGGGTGCTGGATTTTTCAACCCCCCATATTAAATATCTACAAAGGCTATTATGTATACTTCCACGTAAGTAGCCTAAATTAGATCTAACACCTATAGCTATACAGGAAAACTTTATAACTGCAATTTTATTTACTTGACTGACACAGTAGAAATTGTCTACCTATGTCACAGTGCATTTCATCTCTCAAACTGAAGGCTCTTATAGGTTAGACTTGCTGGGTGTTTTATTTTTCAGGGAATTTGTAAAAATTGTATCCTCCTAAGTAAAACATCAGTTTCCAGAGTAAAAAAGTATGAATACGCAAGCATCTCTAAGACAGAAAACTACACCAAAGAAAGCATATACAAAGCAGGTAAGCTTTCCATGCAATTCAGTGAGTTCCATTAAATTTTTGCTTCCTGTAAAATACAGAAATGGTAGCATATTGCTTAGGGTGATCCAGTCTTTTCAGGAGACTTCCAATAGCAAATGGCGTATCACTTCTACAAATTTCAGTGGAAGGCTGAAATTCAGTTTTGAAAAATTTGATTGCTTGACCAATTTGCAAACTGTATATTCTAAGAAAAGAGTGGGCTCTGCTTGAGCTAAATTCTGGAGTTCAAACAATAAGGCTCCATAAAAAAACCACAAACGTAAACAAACATAAATTGTTCACATAAAACACTTATAAAGAATGTGAAACAGAAACGTGTTTTAAGGATTTACTAACAAGTACAGTTCCTCACTGAAGTCCAAAGGACACTTGTTTTTTTGTGAAGACATATATGTGTTACACACATATGCATGAAATCTCTTACTTGTTCAGTTGTTCTACTCTGTGGCAATATTTTCTATGAATTGTTTCAAGAGGAAACAAAGTATGAAAACACATAACTGAGTTTTCAAAGTGCCTCAGAGATTTTGTTTTCATCTCTGGGAGGAAAAAAACAACATTCTCACTTTCATGAGCTTTTGTTTTGAGGAACTACAGTATATGGCCGTGGGAAATTCGGAAATCTGAAATACGCTAATAGGTGCTTAAAATGATCAGAGATGGAAGACCTCAAAGGCAATGTAGGCATCTAATTGCCCTCTGTACAAAAGGAGGTGACACACTGATGGATCTTGCACAGAAGGAACAAGCACCTCAGCCAGAGGGATGGAGCAGTATGCAACATGACTTAGCTCCTTATGCTATTTATGAGGAAAATTTAATATTCAGCAAGCTGAGTAATGAACTGCTCAGAGTCTGCCAGAGGGAAACTCTGTGGCACGGAAGAGTTCCCTAATTTTGTCCTACTTCATGGCCTAAGCATTTTATTCAGCTTTATCTGAAGCCATTGATTCTCCCTTTGATGTACAGCCAAGAACCTGTTCCTGAAGAGAATGTACTCCAGCTCTTTTGGAATAATTCCTAGTGAATATAGTCCCCTAACCCTTTAAAAAATTACTACCAATCAAGGATGACAAAATTTACTTTGGGTATTCTGATGGGGCCCAGCTGTGAGACAGGTAGGCACAGGAATGTTGAACAATATTTAAGCTGCAGTGTTTCCTCACATGCCCAAATAAATTCTTAAAAGGTTAGGAAATGCCCCTGTGGAAGACCAGAGCTTTTGTCTCCCTTCAGTCGAGCAGGAGTTGTCACAATCAGAGCTTCGGATAAAGCAGTCAGTTCTGGCTAATCCAATCTCTTCTGAACAAACTGGCACATCTACTACTACAATCTCCTCTGAACATACTGGCACATCTACATGCAAACTACAGTACAGCAAGACCACTTTGTATCACAGAAACGGAATGCCAGATTCTTTCCTGTCTACTCAGAGGTGCCTCTCACCAAGCTTGATCAGTGTGAGCTATGGAGCTATACCAGTGTAAGACACAGTGATTCCCATTATGGATCTAGGCTGCATAATTCTGTGCATTACTTTCTGGATGCAAATTTCTATGTCAAGAAATAGGAAGTCTTTAAGGACTGAAAAATGAGCCACATGGAGCTTCATAGTACAGCTGGATACACAACTCCTTACAGGCCAGCTGTCAAATATGCAAGATGAGTGCAGAAAGCAAACTGAAGGCAGAAATAACAGCCCTTTAGCATGTTCCTAAAACCTGATTTCAAAGGCACGATTTTAAGACATACAGGAAGACCCCATGAAACTACTATACCACGGAGTTAAGGCTAAGACCAATTTTCCTCGTATCTCCACAACAAAGAGCACTATAACTAATTATTATGTCTACCTGTAGTACTTTTGAGATGTTAGACAGGGACAGAGTAAAAAACACCACTGTAAGCTATTTTAGACTGACTAAAATTGGAAATATGGACTGCTGCTCCATTATTAATTTTATTTGTTTGTGTACAAGGTAGCAAATATTAACAAGAAAATGTTTTTTAGACATTTTGAGTGAATTAATTTGAAGCAGTAAAAAAAATAATCTAACTTCCCAATACGCTGATTACAATCAGTCCAGTTTGATTATTCCTTGATATGGAAAAGCATCTGAATAATAAACCTATGTGTCACCAGACAACAGTGACATCACTGAAAGATGTGTATTATTCTACTGCTACTGGAGACTTAGAGGTAGGATTTCACTTTGAATACTGTCAGTATTTAGAATAACTGCAACTGATTAAAGGATTGTTTTAGAAAGCTCTTTACCAATAAAAGCTTAGTAATAACAGCTACAAGGCCTGATTTTAGTTTGTGTTCTGACAGGAAATCTTGTTTAAAACAATTATTCAGCAGCTTAAATAAAATAAAGACAGCAAAATCTTCAAATTGCCCTGTATCAGGAAGGAATTTTAAAAGCACAAAATTAATTACTTTGAATTAAAGCAGGTAAGTCTGAAAAGCTTAGCTTCACAGCAGCCATATATATGAAAAGAAGTGTTTTTAAGAAAGCCTCTTCTGCTCCCACAGACTCCAAAAGACTCTATTGGATACTTTTTTTCCTTAACACATATTATTCCACTCCATAGCTCTTTATCTTCCAAGTTTTTGTCTCACTATACTAAGTCAAAAGGAATATTCTCAAATCTGAATGAGCACTGGAAAGTCAGCACACCAGCCAGACTGGTTTTTTACTTCACTTTTGTGTTAGTTCCACCCCCTCCCACAATGATACCTTATTTTTAAAACTAACAAAAAAATATTCATTTAATATATATGGGTGAACCATCAACCCAGCACAAACAATATCAGACTATTATTGATTTCCTTTTAAAAGCAATTGTTAAGTCTATGAACACCTATCTATTTGTAAGCTTCTGATGGTATCTCCTGGACAACAGCATTTCAAGTATTTGTTACAATGTTTTTAGTTGAAAGGCTAGTACTGTTAAACTCTCATATGTAAAATGTTTCTGGTGCAAATTACAGATGTCAAAAAATTGCATGAAATCTCCTGTTGCTCTAGGTATGAATTTATTGCACACAGAAATTAGTAGTCAAAGTATTGAACTTTTCCAACAAACTGGAACCTCTTCAGAAACAGGTGAGTGAGTGACCTTGATGCCACTGATAACTCAAAAGTATAACTTCACCAATAGGAAAGAACTTAACCAAGAAAACCTCTTCCTCTAAACAAGAAACTTCCCAGCCTCAGTACCACTGGCTGGGATAATCCTAAAATAATAGTATTATTCAGGAGTAGTTCATATGCCTTTTCTGAAATGCAGTGACACCATACTTAAAATTTGAAGTACTGAGGGAGCATACTTAGGGTGCTTAAGGTGCAAATCTAGTACTGCATTGCTAAATATTACCTCCTCTGCTCTTAAATAATTCTAAGTAATATAGTTTCTCTAATGTTGATATAAGTTCAGTTGGTGGAAAAGATTATATAGAATAAAGTAAGATTTTATCTTAGGGAGTTAATTCTCACTTGAATTATTAAGAATTTTTATATTTAAGTCAACTTTTTGCACAGCTTCTGCTGAATTAGTGAAAGATGCTTCTGACTTTTGCCATTTTAACTGAACTGTTAGATTCAGTATTTTTGCTGTATCTTTGGCATGCTACTGAATAATTATTTCCTATTATCAACCAATCATTAATTTGATTGACGTGTAGTCTGAATCGCTTAAAGAGTTTCTTCCAATAGTGATAGTTTTGTAGTTTTTCTACTAGTAACACACAGACCTTGGCACTAAGCTTGGCATATCATACTTAATCATATATATTGAAAAGGTAGCACACTTAGTGTTTCCACTGACAAAAAACACAAGATACATCTGTACAATGCGTTTTTTCTTAATCCTTGTAACTCAGATTCTACCATCTATCATTTATTAGGTTCACCTGAGAAAACAAAGAAACCAGAAGCTCAAAACTACAAAACATTTACTCACACCAAACTGACCAAGACATCAGCTTCCTTTTGTTACAGTTTCTTAATTCATCTCGCCATCATCCAAACAATGTATCACAACAGTTTCTTAATTAAAGAAAGCCAATGTAAAAAAAAAGCAGAATGATTCATATGTTATCGTTATGGTTCAATGTCAGGTCAGCAGATTTAAGTAATTATCACTAAAGCTTTTAATACCTTAAATTATAAAAGTAGAAAACAGGTTCACGAAACGTATCAATACATTTCGGCTAAAAGAAGCCGAATTTTTAATCTCTGGCTGAAAAAATACAGCCTTATTGGTAACAGACACAGGAGTTTTGCTGTTAGTCCATTCAGACTACAGCAAATCAATAAATTCCAAATGAGACTACTATTTTGTTACGGGGCAAACCAGATGTCAAATTTCATGAAATTACGCCTCTTCCTGAAATTCTCTTTCTAAAAAGCAAATACAAATCCAAATTTTTAAGCTCTACTAAAATCATGCTCCCTGGTGTGTTCTGTTGTTTGTTTGTTTGTTTGTTTTTCTAAAAAGATGATCAATTTTGTTCTCAGTGGCAATTCATAACAGCAACAAAATTAATTACATTACAAAGAAATTAGTAATTTGTACATTACCTAATGCTGCTCATGCTTCCAGTTTCTGATCCAAGCTTACATCTCTCTAGCTGGCTAGCTACAATCTGACGTTCAGCCTCAAGTTCTCGAGTCAGTCTCTCAAACTGCAGTTCCTGAAAAAAAATAAACCATTTGGTTTTATTTCTTTTGAGATTTTGAATTTCCGTACATAAAATGATAATTTGTTCAAGAACTGCCAGTATAGTATCTCATACAAAAGCTTTTGGTTTTTCCTTTTCAAACACATTCACAGTTCAAATTCCAGTGGTAACACTTATCCATTCATTCATTTACCCTAATGATATATGTCATAGAATGAGACACTTTATCAGAAACGGAATTTCCAAATACATTAAACAATTTAGGCCTACATCAGAATCATTCATAGTTTACGTAGACCTCTTAGTAGCACACAAATGACTTAACAAGTTGATATAAGTATGATCACAAAAAAGAATAATTTCTGGTACTTAAAAAAAAAGCTGCAAAGTTCTGCAGATCATCACGTGGTGACAAAAGCTTTTGTAGTCAAAAAAGACAACGACCACAGTACACACTATCAAAATAAACTAAATTGAAGGTGTGTTGATATGTACTGAGGGCAGATTAATTTATGCATTTAATGATGCACAGAAAGAAAACTCAAGTAGTTTTAGACAAAAGCTGTGTTAAAAATCCTTCCACTAATTGAATGTATTTATTTTTATTCTGTCAAGACAGCCAAACCAGTCCAACCAGGTAAGACTTATCCACAGAGCTTAAAAATATGAAGGGGTTTTTATTTTATACAAAAGAGTTTATTTTTTTTCAATTAGAAGTAAAAGCAAAACCAATACAAGTAAAATCCCCACTACACCATAAAGAGCTGCATTTGCCACATATGACAGCAGTAGTTTTATCAAATACAAAATTGAGACACTTCTACGGAATGAACATTTGTTATAGATTTGCCAAATGTTGCTGCAGCTTCATTTTCGTTATGGTTACATGAAGTCATTTTCACAGGTAAACAGGAACAGCTTTCTTGCACCTTTTCCTTGGGTTTGTTGAAGGCTGAAGGAGAAATATTTTTGGTAATTCACTTGTTATGTCATTCCTGTGTCCACACAAATGCCCCCACTATCTTTTTCTCCCTCTTCTTTCAAAAGCTCCTCTAATACGGAGCTATGAAAGAAAGTCCCTTGAATAACTCCCCAGCAATGTCTCGCCTGGAAGAAAAGCACCCCTGGAAATAAGTTACATACACCAAGTGCCAGTGATGAACTTGGTATTTGAGAGAAAGAAATAAATGATTGGAGAGAATAAGATTCAGAAGTCTTCCTCCTGTCTGCTACCTAAAACCTCTGACCAAGAGACAAAGGGTAAATGGAGGCATTAAACCTTTTAAATCTCTGAAACAAGGCAAACCATAACTTAAAAGGAAGAAGGAAATGGCTGGTGGCCTTTCTACCTAATTCAGCTGCATCAGTCCTCTCTGTTTCTCTTGTTACTGGCATCACATAGCTTGGTGTCCTGAATTGTGAGTCCACACAGGTTCTGTACAGCAGGAAATAGGGTGCTGTGTATACTTAAATGGCCACTGAGTATTGGACAAAGCCTACTAAATTCTGTATTTGTTATTCCAAGCAACACTACCCAGAGTACAAGAACACTATCGAGTCAGACTGATGTGAAGAGCAAAACATTGCTGCTCACTGAATGTTAATAGTGCATTAGTAATCCCAGTTCATAATATTCTCTGCAAACTTTTGTAGTACTCAGAAATTACTTTTTCAGTGTTATTTGTAAGCAGGACTGTTAAAAAACTACCTAATAAAAATAACTTATTTCATATATGACTACCTCACAGAGAGCATTTGTCTCTCACTTAGTAGAATCAATTGTCCGAAAAAATGAAGGGACCGTTGGTCAACTTTTCAAGAGTCATTATTCAAATCGTGGCCTTGTTTGCATAAAATAATACCCTTACTGCAGAAAGGACTGTAACAGGAATATTACTAAAGTTTTGAAGAATTTAAAATCAAAGTGGTATAGTATTTGTTATGCAAGCATGCTTCTGTCAAACCAGGTAAGCACTGAGAAATCCTGATAGTATAAAATGCCAAACAAAACCAAACAGAGCATTAAGTTTACTTTCAAAATAAAAGCAAAAGCTTTCACAGTTATTCTGTTCCACTGCACTGTATAAGCTACTTGAATCTATTATGACAACGGTATTGATGCACATTCTGATGCTTAGTATATACATTGTCATTCAGCCAGCTTCGCTTCCCATCATGCCAGGTGAGGCAGGTCAGAAATGTTCTTTGTCACGGCCTACCAGAGGGCACTCTTCTACCCACCTAGTGAGAAGGTGCAGCTGTCCTCATAACCTTGCAAAGAGAACCTAGGAATCACCTTACATCTCCCTTTTCCCAGTCACGTAACTGATTTCATCCTTTTATTTTAGTAGGTGCGCAAACAACCTCTCTCCAGCTCCCTTTAGTCCATAATATCCGAAGTCAAATAAATACCGAAATGCCCCCAAACTTGTATTAGTGAAATACTTGAACGGTAAATATTCTTTTGCCTTTTTCTTCTGCTATCTGGAACGATGTCAAGGTCCTTTCCAACCATTGTATGATTCTGTATCTTCTTGTATATTTTCTATGCTTTGTATTTATTCTTTTAAGCATTCCAGATGACTACTTTCCACACAATTCAGCATTTTCCTAACTTTTATGTCATGATTACTTCACCTACAGAACAGTTTTTGTTCATTATTCTAGTCTCCAAAATATACTCTTCTACTCTTGAGTCTGTCATTTATCTTTCCTTCCTACTCACCCCTTTCTGTTCTTTTCCAGATTTCTTCTTTCTTTTATTCCCTAGGATACTTCATGACTCATCCTCCACTAATATTTCAAGCTTCCTATACAAACTGCTACTCAAACAAATGTCCTAAAATCATTGGTTTAAACAGCTTCTCTTTTGGTAATTGTGCCCTTATAGATGGAACTCTGTTCTTAAAGATGTAGAAAGTGTAACATGGTTTCACTGCCCACGCTATGCAAGTCCTACCCTTGCAGAGACAACTGGAAAAGGACAGTTGTGTTTATGTTCCTCCTCCAGGAGGAAGCAGAGATATGCTGGATCACTTCAGAAAAAGAATTCTCTGGGTTTCTAATGCATGAAAATGGCTATAATAGCTGAACAGTAACTTCTTTACTAGCTTGATTTAATTGCTGTTATTTCTCACTTAACTGTCTTCTGTCAGGTGTTCTCAGAAGTTAGGGATGGAAGGAAGGAGATAAAAGGTGGAGGGGTGGGATAGGTGAAGGGGCAGAGCCAAACAATTCTTACCTCAGAATTATCCTCTACATTAAATTTAACAAACAACCGTGTTAGGCATTCCCTTGTATGATGGCAAGATTGCCTTTAGAATGAAAGAAGAAAAGAACTCAAGCAAAAGTTGTTAAGAGTCTTCTACCCCTCCATACCAAGAATCCCTTGCAGAAAACTAATTAATAAGCTTCCTTCACTTCATTCAGAAAGCAGTGAGAGTGACTAATATTTGAATAAATCCATATGTTTAGATTTCAAGCAGCTGTCACAGTACCAGGAAACAGACACTAGAAATAGTATTTGCTTACATTTTACAAAAATAACCACTGAACCTGACTCCATCATTTGTCTTATTTATTCTGTTTACAGTCATTTTCACCAGTTCACGCCATGTTGTGTTATCTGCACAACCTTCTATTATTTGTCTGAATCAAGCTAATCGCAACATCAAAATGAAAAACAAATTCCTACCCATTGCTTATGCAAATCTGCTGTCAAGACAATTGCAGAATGAAAAACTGCAGAAACTACCTCGCAACAGCAAAATTAGATTAAGTAATGTTGGGTCAAGTGCAGCTTCACAGACTGTGCTACACATGGCAATAGTGCCAAAGCAAGTGCACATGCACAGGCACTGTTCTGTGGAATGACCAGTCTGGCAATCCTTGGTACCATAAAGGGTGGGAGTGGGAAACCAACAGAAAGATTAGACATGATGTTGTGAGTAATCACTCAAGAGAGCAGCTTGGAAAAGGAGGAACATCATGGTAATGTTATCAAAATGGTTTGAAGTGATAAAAAGACCATGTAACTGCTAGGGCCTGAAGCAACTTATGCTTAAAAGTGGTGTTTTCCCACTACCATGAGTTTTTCTGTAAAAAATATTCATTATTCCATAGACAGCAATTGGACATATTTGCCTTTTCAGTACGAGATTTATGTTTTATCTACCTTCTGCAGCCACTAAAACGTCAAACATTAAATAAGACTTGAGTCAGGTCATACATTTCACAGTGGTCCATAAGCTGAATAAGCCTGATTGAAAAGTTCACAACCTTTGGACAGGTTATGAACTCCTGAGCTCAGGGTACACCAAGCAAGAGGGTATTTGGTTATTTTTATGCTTTGTACCTGCCAAGTGGTCTGTGTTGACCCATGTGAATGCTGGGAGAGGTAAAACAGGTCAAAAGATATTTGGCATACTCAGAATGGATCTCACTTTACTCTGTCCTTTGTAATCTTAAAGTAATCCTTCAATCCTTTCACACAGAGATGTATATTGATGCTGAGCAAAAGACACAGCAAAATCTGTAGAGACAGTAAAAAGCAGCTGATAAAAAAAATAAAATCTTAATTTCAGCTGAACAGCCTTACTGAATTCCCAAGAATCTTAAGGTCATAACACAGAAGTGTTTAGCTTTTGACTGTAAATACGCTACATAAAACCAAATTGTACATTGATGATCATCTGAATCTTCAAATACAGTTAAATAACAGCACTGAGGTAAGGCTGGGAATCCCTTGTGAGATGAATAGAGAAAGCCTGATTACAGCTACACAAACAAATAAATAATCTCCTGGACTGAAACCTCTCATAAGAGCATCTTAGAAACCACAGAACTTCCTAAAGTATGTTGGCTGTAGAAATGCAGAACTTTGGTTCTAACTTGCTGCAACCTGCTAAACCAGAAAAAGTGTACCTCAATGCCACAGGTAGTATGTGTATATTGCTACACACATCCTATGGCATCATGCATAATTCCATATACTGTACAGGATAAACTCCAAG